TTCTGTCGTAGTTTGCTATTACATTATTTTCTTCCTAAAAGTAAGTTAAAAATTCTTGAGTACTGCACTATTTTTGCTCAATTATTATTGATTGTACGACATGTTTTCTTCTACTGGTTCAGAATATTATAATTATACGTTATATAGCGCAGTATACCAAAAACTCGTATGCTATAAATAAACAAAAAAATAACAGGGTTTCTGCAATCATGGAAAATTTTTCAAGTGAGGAAACAACTCAGCGAAACAAATGAATCAAGGGGGAATCGTTGGCGGCAATGACTAAATTATTAAGGTGTAGAATATTAGTTTTTGTTTATAATCATAAAAACAGCTATAAGTGGATTCAAGCATCAAATTGTTATGGTATTGTCCAAAGAAATGATCATAATGGAAGTTTATTAACTGCATTTTCGAGACCCAATAAACTTAGCCTATACAATCTTTTGATTTATCCAGTAGATATAAAAGCAACCTTTTAATGCGTAAATTTCAGCATTCTGCCTTCTCTAAAATAAAATCACTTAATGTCATTGTTATACTAAAGCGATAAGTAGTAGCAAACATCTGTCTCATAGTAGCAATATTATTGGTTAGACAGTAATCGGATTTTCAATTTTATCAAACTGACCCAACCCAACAGAATTAACTAATGATTATCACCTTATGGATGATATTCAAATCATTTTAACTAGATTAGAATACGAGAAAAACCAGTTAAACCAATAGTTTTCAATTAGGATGACTCACTAAAATCTGCTAACATAATCATCGTCATTTTGTAAAATATAGAAAACTGGGAACTAATCTAAACAACAAATCATTTATTGATTACTTATTTGTCGTAGGGTAAATCCGGTAACATGTGAATTCAACGAAAATACAGTTAAGAAAGCATACTCATTCGGGATAATGAATGGAAAAAAGCTAGTTTTACGAACCTAAATATATGATCAAGTGAATGAACCCAAGGTGAATGATTAGCATAAAAAGCTTGTTTATTAAAGTGATTCTTCCTAATACATCAGTTCATAGCAATCCGGAAGGCGGTAGATATAACCCTTTTGAGTACAATTTAACGAAACAAGCCTTATGTAAAAGACTTCTTGATTAAACTTTAAATTATATTTCAATGACTTTTCGAACTACAGTTCCTGCTATCTTCTTTTAATAAAAACCTTAATCGATAAGGTTTTAAAGCTGCATGTTGTCTTTCATAACCTCTTCTTGTAATTAAAAAAAAAGATGCTTTCTACCGATTTTATCGATCAGTTTCTATGATATTTTTTCTTGCTGTTATCACGAAAAACAGTACAACTGTGTGTAGATAACCAAAGGTTATTTTCGAGCTGGTAAATACAAAGGATAAGACTTTAAATTAATTATCATTTTAATTACGTAGTACAAAGTACAAGACTAGTATCAATGCATCCTCACTTTAGACATAAATAGATATATGCATGATACTTGTAAAAAATATTATCCCCTATGAGTAACATATAGTACACTGAGTCAGCTTTTATCAAGGCTGATTTACAACAAAATCAAGTGATTACTAACATAACTAAAAATATTGAAAGTAATAGTTTTAATCAATAATTCGAGTGCTATTCTGCTGTTTCTTTTTTACATAAACCAGATTTTACTTATTGTGAATAAATTAATCAATCAATTAAGTTCACTGAGTTGAGTTCACAATTACTCCGTAGTTGTGTGTTTTAAAAAGGTCAATGAACAATAAAATACGCATAAACAATATAATAAAGAACGATTATTGCATAATTAGGTGATGATGGTTTGATCAAAATATCTTATTAATTATCAATCACTTTTAAATTGAATATTCACTAGATTTGTTAAATTATTGGTATTCAACAAAATTATTTATATTCTTGGTACAAAACCATAACTAGGGTTTTAAGTATGGCTATGAAATTTTATGTCATGTATGAAAAAATAAAATGCATCCATCAACAATTGTCTACGCAAGATACTCAGTGTCTGTTGGCTGGATGCTGTCAGAAACCAACTCCCGTCTGAAGAGGAAATTACGAAAAGACGCTGGAAGTGGATAGGAAACGTATTTCAAAAATCATTAGACTGCAGCACGTAGCAAGCCTTACCTTGGAATCTTGACGACAATAGAAAAAGAGGCAGAGTGAAGAACACATTGTGTCGGGAATTCTTAGGAGACATCAAAAGAACGAATAACAATACGAAACAAATGGAAAGGAGAACCCCGGACATAGTTTGTTGGAGAATCCTGATGGGCGGCCTATGCTCGTCCACGAAAGTTAATAGGCAGGCAATGAAAAATGAACTTCCCTATCAGATATAAAGTTGATTTGTTTCACCCCACTAATGTTAGAGGCATAGTAGTAGAGCTATTCAAAGAGCAGTTAAATAAATAGCTACAACAAAATATTACGAACATGCAGTCAGAATTTTAGTCTCAGTTTATTAAAACAGTTCTGTCTTTGGGGCAGGTTAGCTTATATGTAAGAACAATTACTTAGTATGAATTCACTAAACTCCTCTCTAAAATCATATAGTTATCTTGATGTTAAAATATGTTCTGACTAAAGCTTGAGTTTTGAGGATAACCTAAAGTGCGAATTTGTTCAGTGAACAACAAGTGACTGACATAATATTCACTTCAATGACGTAATGACGGAAAGTTATATCATCTTAATAAAACTTTCAATATAAACCAAGGTAGGCTAAATACAAACAAGTTACACCTATATGATCCTCGATAGTTTGTTTCTGATCCACTGAAGTTGGTAAAACGTTTTACGAAAATTGGATTATACCCATCATTATCTGAATTAATTCCAGAAATTAAAAGTTAATCACTAGAAGTTAGTGTTTGAAGCGAAAGTATTGATACCAATAATTTAAAACCGGAAGAAACAATCTCGATAGCATACGTTTGGAAAAAACCTTAGGACGAATAATCTAATACATAATTCAGTTTTAGACAGAATATGTACTAATTATAAAGTAAGTTTAAGTAACTTACAGAAGTGAGCAGGAGATTTCTACTAACCAAGCAAATACGAAGTTGATAGTCATGTCAGGAAATCATAGACACTAATGACTGACGGATTCACTTTCTGCATAAAAGTTGCAAAAGTCCAGAATCAGCGCGGAATTTAAAACTAGGTGATGTTGAGAAGCTTACGACTCGCATTATATTATCAAGTGTAGATGGTGGTAAAAACCAAAGGGAACTGTAACGTAAAACTACAGAAAACCACTATTACGATATTTGATAGTCAAGTAATTTCACTGAGGAGGAAACAATTAAATAAGGCACATAAAACGAAGGCGTGATTTTAAAGGTCATTAATATGATAAATGAGCAAATCGGTGGTCCGATTTGTCTCATAAAATAAATCATCTGTGATTTTAACCTCACTTTCTTTGGAAACAAATCTTTAGTAATTATACTCACATTTTCATTTTATAGTCAGTAATTGTAGCCCATTTTTTTCTTTTCTTTTCTCGGCACTACTATTATGGCTACTAACAATAATCATAATAATGATAGTGTATTTATTCAATATTATATATTCAGTACAAAATCAAATTTTCAGCATATTCAACTTCACCCGAAGATGGAGTTAGAAAAATGAAACAATATGCGTTGTACTTAAGATTCCTTTAGGAATCTATAGTAAAAGGTAAAAGATTTATCTCCAGGCGAAACGATACCAGAGTACGACCTACAGCAACATAATGCTATGCCAACTCGGAATATGATATTTAAACACTTCTTGAAATTATATGAATTGAAAACTTCCCTGATTGAAAAAAAACATAATCTTATTTATCTAATCACATTATCTATCGATAAAACAAATAAGTTTTAAAATTTAATACTTTATCTACCTAAACTAACTTTGATTAATTTAGTTGGTAATAGTAATCGTGTTTAATTCATAATTATGATAGATTTCTGATGATGGATAGATGTTTGAATAAGATCATTCATCAAGTGAATTGTTCAATCTTTTACATTACGACTGAGTTATTGAACTTGCATTATTCTATACGTAAATTGTTTGAATTTATATTTTTCAGTGATATTGTGTCCACCTATATAACTTTTGCTGTTACTTAAGACATTATAATCTACATAAAAATCCATATGATACTATTAATGTTGTTAACAATAAAAAAGAAGTCTTGGCAATGGAATTCATTTTGTAGCAAGGAATATTGATTCTAAATTACGAAGTGAAACAAGTATTTGACTGTGAATCGTGTTTATTCAAATGTCATCATTCTTAAATATAGATTGATAACAGTCATTTAGCTAATTAGTGAGAAAGAATAAATGTAAAGTATTAAATGAAAATACTTTTCTCTTGAAAATGAGATATGTTAACAAATTAATTTGCATTTAGTATAATTTCTACAATCTATTTGACAAACAGTCATATTGTAACCATGAATGGTAAAAGATAATAGACAGAAAATCCACAATTTAAGCTTGGTGGATGATATGAGATTATATTTTACAAGAAGTATAATTTTTCACATGGTGCCAAACCCGCCTTTTCGATGACAGTAACATGATGTTTCAAAAAAGTCAGAATGTTTATCCACTGTACAACACCAAATACCATACACTTTTTTAGTCTAGTAATCACTATGTTACTTAGGCATTGCATAGAAAATCGTAGCAGGAATTCAACTACTGTCATTTTGAATGTTTCATCGTAACTTCTTAATTCTTTTGTGTTAACTGGAAATTCAGCACTAAGTAGAACTAAAACTATTCCTCCATACGTACTTATGCAAAAGTTATTGCGGTGTAAATGCAGTAACTTAATTTCAATTGTTATTAAAAAAAAATTGAGTGATAGTACACAGGTGTAACCATCTACAACATTCAGAACATAAATACAAGACAAGGTACAATAAAAAACAATCGTTCATCGGATTTAATTTCAGTTAACTAATATAAAATTAATGAGAATTTGGTAGCTTACGTTTCGAATCGACAAAATTTACACATTACAACATTTGTATTATGTAGTTTTTCTGTGCATATACGACAGAAATCCCCATGACAATTGATACATCGAATAGCCGGTTGTAAAAGTGGTACAAATAAAGTATTACAATTGTTACATCGACCTTCACCGATAGATTCTGAATTTTTTATACGAGCCTTTTGCTTATCAATCATTTCTTGGCGTAACTGTCTAAAATTAGAAAATAAAAATAGAGAGATGGTACATTCTTCAAAAATAATTTCAAAATATTTGGATAAATTCGTTACTAGGATGTAAAGTTTTTCTCATTTATTTTAACTGTATAAGATTTCAGAAGCATATAACAAACATTTCATTCTGGCTTTTGATAGCCTATACATAAAGGTAAATAGCCACGAAGCAAAGTTTTATGATGCATACATTTAGGAAAGCTGATTAAGTCTAACTCTTTAGTTGAAGCTCTCTAAATGAATCCCTAAATTACATAACTGATCAGTTTTTTACGATTCTTATAATTTCGCCAAATTGAAAAAAATATATTCATTGTTTAAAGAATTTTTAGATTTGCTTAATGTGCGGTAAAGTGAGACTACTTCGATCAAAACGGAATACAGTGTGAATGTTGTCGAAGACCAATTCTAACAGAGAATGAAAATAACCAAAGATTCCATGGTTTTTTACTTATTTGATATTATAGAGTGCATTGGAATGATAGTACCCAGCAAATAAATTAATATTAATTATTGATCAATTTCAGTACCCTTGAGCGTGAATGTTATCAATATAAATGATCATATTAATCCACCATATTAACTAGCTTTAAAAAAATAACCACAAAATATAATTATAAATTTCTCTCGAATGGTTTCTTGGTCGGTCCCAATTATTCAAGCCTTAATTATAGGTGGAAAAAACGTGTTGAATACGTCATTTAAAACTTTGAAAGTTCGTAACATACTCAATATAGGGAAAGAACAAATGATAATCAAATGTCTAATGTGTTTAATGTATACCAGTCTTCAACTGTTTAGTTAAATAACACTTTAGTAAGGTATTCTAACATGTTAGAATGAGAGTTTAAATTAAACTTTAAATATTTCAAAAAGTTTGCCAGTATGCCGTTTGTACTACACACTTCTTTAATAATTAATCTCACATGTTTAAAGAATGAAATAACTACGTATAACTTACTAAATTAGTTACAATTTAATCAACTGAAGTATCTACGTTGGATTAAACAATGAACACAACACAAGTCCATACAAATTGTGAGTACAATTTAATTGCAATTAAGTAGTATGATTCCATACCGGTTAGTGAGATTAATATCTTTCAAAACACTTAATAATAAATGACTAAAGTAATAAACTACTGGTATCAAAATAACTAGGTTTACCAGATGATTAGTATAGCATACAAGTCTATTTAGCCAATAGTTTAACATTTATAGATAATATCTCGTTTTATAAAATATATCAACTATGGAGCTCTTGTGCTTCCAAAAAAACCCCATTATCTTAAGATACATGATTCATATAGAATTTACTGCGTACACTACCGAGACTTTTAGTTTTTAAAATGAAACAAATGCTTGATCTGCTTTTGCGTAACTACAACTTCCGTGGGGTGTTCTAAAGGTAGTCATTTAATATTGAAGAATGTCAACTATGATATTCAGTTACCTAAATATATAGTAGCGTTTAAACGTGATCGATTGAATCCGAATATCTCTAAGGTCTGGATAATATTACAATAATTGCTTCACAGTAGTGATAAGTTTGAAATTAATTTGAGAATTAATGTGAACAGGTATAAAACTCTAATTCACAGCGTTTTCTAACCACCTAGAAAACCAGCAGTGATTTTACGCAAACCAAATTGTGACTTCAAGTTTGGTCTAGTTTACATATGTCATTAAAGTAATAAATATACAGTAGTAAGTAATCCTCAACTCGTTTTATTTATCAGAATGAGGGTTTATGGAAATTGTAGTAATTTATATAATAGTTGAATTCATCAGTCGATTCAAGCTAGACCCCTCTGGAAAACCTGGAAGCACTGGACGGCCATTTTTTCCTAGTATGGAACTCTTCAGCAGTGCGCATCGGCGCTCCCACATTGGGAATTCGAACCCAAGACCTTCAATCTCGCGCGTGGACGCTTAACCCCTAGACCACTGAGCCGGCGTCCAACGGTGTTAATGTCTAATTTCAACCAATCCACGACATTGCGCGACCGTCCATCATTTTCTTCAGTGAGTAAGTGCATCGCAACAGATACGGTCGAACTCCACTGGTTAAAGCTATTCAAAAGTGTTTGCGCGTGAGACCGAAGGTCTTGTGTTTGAATCCTGTGTGCGGGATCGTGGATGCGCACTGCCGAGGAGTCCCATACTAAGACGAGACGGCCATCCAGTGCTTCTAGGTCTTTTAGCGTGGTCTAGCTTGAATCGACTCATAAATTCATTTTATTTACTTTACAAAAAATGATGGTTGTAACTGTAAGGGACTTATTCTGTATTTCTTATTTTTCTCCGTTAACAATCTTTGCTAGAAATAAGGTTGTGATTGTCTGTCGTCAATAGTGATTATTCTATGTACTACTTTATTTCTTTATTTATTTACAGTTTACTAAATGACATCATCTCCAATGTATATCTAGAGTGATATATATATAAACATGAAAACAATATAAAACAAACAAAAATCAATGTGCTGTAATCACATGACTTTATAGATTATCTTGCCAAAAGCAGATAGAGTTAATCTATACAGAATTCACACTCATCCAAATACACAGAAATATACAATAGGTAGAAATGACATTGTATTTTGTAATCATAATAGCTTTAATTTCATAACGAAAAATACTGTTAGCTAAGGCTGAGAGGATAACATGATATAGTAAATTTGACTAAAATATAAATTCTACTAACTCAAACGTATAATAAGTGATCATGCCAAAGATTACGAAGAATCTATGATTTAAACTACCCTAAAGTTAAGATTAGTTGAGTATCACATACCACTAAGTTGAACTCAATAAAGATAATATATTGGTAATATCCCAATTAGTAGAAAAATTAAGTTTTCAAATTTTCTGACGTCTTAAGACTCAATGAAAGCCAGTTCTTCAGAGAATAATTAAACAAATTAAATTAACCCAAGTTAAAAAAAGCAAGAATATTTGGTACGATCAACCAAAAATAAGTATGACCGAGTTAATGTCATTCCAATCAAGGTGATTTATGTAAAGCATGTTTGTATATTTGTGTATGTATGTATGTATGATAAAGGATGAAAAACGACATTTATGGTGCCAAAAGATAGAGTTGAATTTGTATGTGCGATAACGATGTGAACTGTGAATAGGATCAGACATAATAGCTCGGGTAGATAATCCAAGTCGGATGGATATTGGGACCTCCTTTTCTATTGAGGACAGTAGGATTGAGGAATATATGCAAAGCTTCAGCTACTCGCCTTTCTTTGTATTGAAAAAACCGTTTTGTATTATTTTGATGTTTTTGATATCACATTGATGGTTGTTGAAAATAGTATGAACTGCTATTAACGATTTAATTTGGAGTCTTATCGGTTCTACAGGATTATTAGGCGGTTTCTTCGTGTACCTAAGATGCTTTTTGGCTCGAGTCAAGATTTTACAAGATGATTCTGCAATATAACAGGTATCACAATCAAAACATCCTAATTTGTAGACACAATTCTGTGTTGTTTTCATTTATGCGAACTAAAGTATTTCGTAGAGTGTTCGTTGTTTTATGATATACTTTAATTTCTTGTTGTTTTAAGACTCCTTGAATTTCTTCTGTTGTGTCATGGCGGTATGGCACCAATCCATGGTATTTCATTCGGATTATTATTTAACAGTAACACGTCTCGTTTTATAGTACTATTAATAATCTTCATAGGAAAATTATTAATTTGTAAGATGTCAATCATATGCTTTAGTCCTTTTTGTTTATCCTCTTCAGATGTAATAATCTTGTTCGCTCTTCTAAAAAGTTTTAGGATTGAGAAATTCTTGTCATGAATGGATGTGCTGGATCAAAGTCGGTATAAAGATTTGAGTGCGCTGGTTTTCAGTAAATGATTAAATTTATAGCCACACTTAGATATCTTTTAATTAACCAATCTAAAAATGGTAGCTTACAGTTTTCATTTTCATTCCCGTGCGTAAATTTAATGTGAGATAAGAGTGTATTGATCAGTTTGGAAAGAAAATCTTAAGTGAGTTTTTTTTATTACAACAAAAGCATCATCTATATATATGAGTCAAATTCGTGGTTTAATGTCACTAGCGAAAATATTTGATTCTACATGTGACACAAACAGGTTGGCTAAAATCGGGGACAGGAGGGTCGCATTGCTACTCCGTTTCTTTGCTTGTATAATATCCCGTTAAAAACAAATAAGGTTGAATTTAAGCATAGTTTTAGGGATTTCATGATTAGACTAATTCTTAAAGGACATCTGTCAGATCTGAATTTCTAGATGTGGTAAAAAAAGTACGAATTTAACGAATAAAGCTATGTTATCTTTAGGTATAAAATAGTTATTCACAAAGGTCCCATTGACATAAACCATCGAATATATGTGCAAACAACCTTAAGAAAGGAACATAGCAATATCGATTTTAACAGAGAAACTTAAGAGGTCTCTACCCAAACGCACGATGAATATCCATTTTGTAACTACTATCCAATGCAAAATAGATACCCTATTAATTCGACAAAGAAGTATGTACCTCAATTTAAAAGCAAGACATGGACTGTCACAGTCAAAAAGAAGACTCTACACTTAAGTATGTTTCGAAAATGATATAGCAAGTCATATAACATCATGATGACCTAATAAATTCATTAAAATGACAATCACGGAGATTTGTGCTCCTTCATGTTAGATATTCTTATTTCGAACTAAACATTCGCATTTTTAATTTTGCAGCTACTTTTTACTAGTAATTATTGTCATTATTATAATTATAATCACGATAACCACAACTAAACAATCCTTATTTTGTATCGATTTTTTATGTATAATTTTAACCTATTGATTAAAATTTATCATCAGGTATAAAAATTTTTTATCTCTTCTTGTATGACTTTTTCTAACTTTAGCGATGATTCGTTTTGTTCGTATTTAACACACAGTTGGTGGAAAATCCTATATTTTCAATTTATGGTACTGACTAGCTAGATTACTTATGTGTTATGCATTCAGAACAACGTCAACTAGACTGTAGCCATCACAGTACTGTATTTCCTAGACTAACTAACATGTACAAACACATCTACTATATCCTTGTACTTTATTAGACAGCAGTTTAGAGCTTTTATTTCTTAAGTTTAAAGTTAGCGATAGTAGAGTCATACCCCTAACAGAATGAACATACTTACTTGAAGTTGAAAGGACTACATTTTAAAAACATCGAAAGAGGAATCATCCAATCATACCACTAAATATAACATTCAGTAGTGATTCATTAATTACGTAGTCAAATAAATTACCATTAGTTTGGATAATCTCCGGTCTCAAGCTGAATGGATTATTCAATTCTAGTGATGATAACTATTACTTAAATACTTCATTTCTGCTTAAGTCAATCTGTTTATGAATTAACAGACTTGTATTTTACCTACCCTAGATGGCTTACCCAATAATTATGAGATGTTAACTGTGACTTGAGAATAAAAAAGTTGCAGAAGGAACAATTTTTCGTTACAATCTTTTGATGTCTAAAAGACTGCCTGTAATAGAATTTTAGACAGTAAATACACCATATATATATAACTTACTAGAAAAGAAATTTCCGTAATTCATTGGTCACAAGAATAAGAATTTTCATCATTACCGTAATTAGTGCTGCTCTCTTAAATCGTAGAATATATATTTTCTACCGAATGACATAATTTTTTAGTATATCACCTTCATACAATAATTAATGTGAAATGCAACAACAAAAACATGGAGCTAAATTACTTATAGAATCAAACGTTCTCATATGCTTGGATGAATATCGATATTTCCAGGTGTATATAAAGGAAGGAAAACATAAATTTAGTAAGCGCATTTGATGTAAGTGTGAGCGCTCAACTTATTAAAATATCCAATTGTAATTCAGTTAGGAAAGTTAATTGTATTTACTAATCTTACTAAATCTTCGATATACATTAGACCATTATTGTCATTAACCGATTCCTCCTAATCCAAACAAAGTATGTTGAATAAGTTTAATTACCTAAATTTTATCAGATTAAGTATTTATGCAATTTAAAAGTAAATTATTAAACAGTATTCAATAATTAATTAAAAATTGTAAATCAAATCAGTTGTCGGTACTTGATCATTGTATATCTGTAAAAATGAACTAGTCCTTCAAACCTTATCTAAATGCAAACATCCAATATGGTTGTCTAAATTACAATATTAATGAGAAGTAAATCAGGCTCGAATATCACTAGCCGGTTGCGTGCATTGACCTATAACGATTTGAATTTATTTTATAACAAAATTTTACCCTCAAAAGTACAATTATTTCTGTTGAGAAATATCCACTTATTGAAAATATTTAATCTTAGTTTACTTGTTTTAATTTCAGTTTACAATTATTACAATAGACACTTATGGAGTCATCAAACAAAATAAAAATAGTTCAGCGAATATAGTTTTATTTTCGAAGACATTTATTAAACTGTGCAATCATATTTATGGTTATTTTACGTATAGTAGTTAATAATAAGATAGAAAATTGTTATCATTAAAAAAGATACCACAAGTTAATCGAACATTTTAAACATCCGATAAACTTGGATAAAAGTCAAATGTTAATCAGAATGAATATATATAATATATATATATATATATATATATATATATATATATATATATATATATATATATATATATATATATATATATATATATATATATAAGATAACTTCACGAATGTAAAAATATAAAATAGAGACGAATGCATGCTGAAAACAATCTAAAAATTATATGGGATTTTACTACAACATGTTCCTATGAATTTATTAAGAAATCCAGACATACTGTTGTCTAACAACTTATACTAATATGAAAATTAACAATAGTAATGGTAGTAATATTGGTAGTACAGAAGTATTATTGTTTATTTTTAAACGCAATCATCTTCACTATAATGAAACCACAGTTACGCAGCTGCAAGTAATAATAAATTTATCCATCAATTGAGATTATTGACCTTTAAATATCTTATGTATAATAATGAGTTAAATAACTGTTGAAGCAAAATAGAACTAGTCAAGATTAAAAATGTGAATCATTTGATCCCGGTTCTTATCTCCTATTACCCCATTTCTAGTCTAGTTGACCTTTTATTTTTATATATAAATGCTCTTAACAAATATGTGTGCGTTTATGTTATTTTGATTTCAAGGAGTCTAAAATATGAATGAATTCAGTGGTCCGTGTGTTTTTTCTAATACTTAAGCTGACAAAGATGCAAACTTTGAGAATCACTGCATGATATTGAACACCAAAAGATTAATTTTACAGAATTACCGCTAATAGAAAAGTATTTTCAAACTGACAATGTACTAACTTCGTTATATGTATTTAAAAAAAACTATTTCTGAACTTTTTATTTGAAAACTAATACCTAACTGATTGAATCATACCTTATTTTACTGCTGCAATTATCTTATCAAATTAAAAGAGATACTGATAAATTAACCTTTATACTTTTTCATTTTGATTTAGTTTCAACACAGTGTCATGGTGTTTTATGACAGAATAAGGTAGACTCTACTGACTGTTTCATTCCTTAATGTAACCTAACATCTTACAAAATATCCTAATCACCAGTTTTCTTTTAATTGACAATTGGACTAAATTTCCATCCAAAATAATAACGTTTCCTGATAACTTTTAGTAAAACCGTAAGGTGATAATATATAGACATTTATTCATTTTAATTTATTCGAGACACTATTTAATGATAAGCAATTTTCGAATTATTGAGATGTTTAGTAAAGTTGGAAGAAAACATTGGTTTTACCAGAACTCAAATAAACGATATCCAAAATACTGCCTAATTGTTACAGAACAGGAATAGAAAAGTCTCATAGATTTACTTCATTTTGTAAATTACATATATTTCCATTCTTCAATAAAAAATAAAAGGCAAATCGTGTAGTGTATCAAAACTGGGACAGATAATGGGTATTTGGTTGATATAAGTCATTTAGTGAAGAAACTAAATTATATAAAAATGTACAATAAATCAATATTGTGACAGTAATATATTTGAATTTTAAAAAGTGAAACTGTGAAAGCATTTCATGAAGCGTGTGCCTACTTTGACATCGTTTTTTTTTGTTAAATACTAGTTTTTCTCACTATTTTCCATTTACCCCTTACAAATATTCACAGTTTCCTTAGATTTCTTCATATGGATTATTACTAGACTGTTATCCTTTTCGATACACGGATCTATTCATTAAGAAATAATCTTAATGATCTCTTCAAAGGCACTTTGGCTAAGACTTAATATCTCTTAGATAACTAATATAAATTGTAGACAATAAAATAATCATGAAACGATTGGATCAGAGTAAGTGCTTGATTCCACTGTCATGCCTAATTATATATGATAATGTTTGTTTTTCAAAATAATTTAGCCGTCACTTCTACGCAAGGTCAAAATCTAATAGTTTTTGAATATTACTAACCTAGTGAATAAATTGGTCGAACTAAAAACTAAAATAAAATGATTAGCTCAAAGATGGATTTATTTTAACTAGAAAAAAACCTTGATAGTATGGCAAGTGACCGAGGATCATTGATATTAAAAATAATATTCTGTTGACGATAAATGCTAAATAAAATGAATCTTATTTGTGAACCTAGATAAGTGGTTGAATATGTTGTTGCTATACTTAACACAATCAACAACACTTCATGTATGGAAAGTGGTGATTTCATGGATTTAAAATAGTTCCCAACACGAATCATATAAACTAGAATTGTACCAATAATTAAAATTTAAATCTATTGACAACCTAGAGTGATTTATCATTCATCGGCTTCTGCGTTTATTATTCTGAAATATGAACCTTTCGACATGAAATAGAAGAAAACTGAACCAAATGACGAAGTTTATCTTCAAGAAATAATGGAAAATGTCGAGGAGATTATTATATAATGGTCAGGGAATTGTTACGGTCATTGCGCTGCTAGAAATATGAAATAAAATATGAATAAACTAAATAAAAAATGCCTTCACTATAAAACCGTGGAGATCACAAGAAGTTTATACGAATAGACTGTGAACCAATCAATTCAGTAAATATTTTACATCCAAATATAGATTTCAAACCATATTTATCTTGAGGAATATAGAAACATAAAATGTAGAATGGATACATCACCGAGACTGGTTTAGGTGATAAAAAAGCTGATGAAAACCAAGGGATTTTAAAAAAGTATACCTACCTCACACGTTTGTCTTCAATTTGCCTAAATTTATCGAAGCGTGAAAGCACTTCTTCCAAATGATTTTGTTCTTCAACAGTAAGATTAGCATTCGCAAGTGTTGTTCCTTTTCTAGGGTATGATTTGACGCTCTTTGTACTACTAATGCTATGACTATCGGGAATAAACGCGCTACCAGTCTTGCTTCCAATAGTATGCGCCGGAGAGTTTGATCTTGAGCGAAAGTCGTCATTAGTAGACTCAAAAGAGCGCGACAAGGTAGGATTATTTATATTAGAATACGACATTCGAATTAATGATTAACAACAATGCTTCTAATTATCAATGTTTAAAAACATGTCAGAGTGGTGCTGAAAATACACATAACTTGAGTGTCTACCAGTAACCAATCAGATGGAAAGCCGTTAAACTAGCCAGGTTTTTTAAGTAATAGTATAAAATTTGACACTCAAATGAACTAAAACTTAAGAAGAAACTACTTGTGTGCAAAAATAGTTAGTTTTACAAACATTGTTTTGTTTTACTGAGCTGCTGCCTTATCAAGGTAAGTGATACCACTTTTTAAATACGGTATGAGTTTTCGTGCCCATTGATGAATAATTGATTCGTTATCGCATGTGATTATTTTAAGTAACCCTCTTGTCGAAAATTAGAAGAACATTTAATCAAGATTGTCCATGGAAATGGTTTTAGAAGTTCTTCCCAAATAAGTTTATTTACACCTATGATATACTGGGGAAATCTGCGAACTGAATCATCAGAAAATTCCTTCAAGCAGGAACTAGTTGATGCGGTTATAACATGTGCCCTAGTGTAACATGTGAAAGAAGCGACTAGGTACGACCCGGACACTGAATCATTCTTACTAGATCTTATATTAACTAACTATGAGGATGACGTTGCGAACCTCCTTTACATGCCACCCCTAGGAAAAATGGATCATGCAGTTTTAACTTTTGACTTCCATATAACTGTCAATCACGAGCAAGCGTCAACTCAATCCAGACAAAACGTCTGGAAAGCAAGCATACCAGATATCATGCACTCGGCATCATTAGTAGATTGGACAATAGACCTAGAGTCGTCATTTGAAACGGCTTGGGGTGCATTCCGAAATTTATACTTGAAATTTACCGCACCCCACATTCCTTGGACTATACCAAGGAGGCCGAGAAACTCCCCACGATGGTTCAATAGGGAGGTCCGCATCCTTCTACGTAAGAGAAGAAAAATGTGGGATAGATTTAGGTTACTGGGGACTGATGAGACAAAATCTCAGTACCAAAAAGCTAGGAATACCTGTGCCTCGACCCTCCATAAGTCTAGAAAGCTGTACGAAGAAAAAATTTTTGAGGAATCCATAGAATGTCCTAAACGCCTGTATTCCTATATAAACCAAAGGAAAAAAAGAAGAGGAATTATTCCTGCACTATGGGGAGACAGTACTGCCGCATCATTAGTGGAAGATGACTTTGGTAAGGCTTAAGTGTTCTCTAACTACTTTAGCAATGTATATACCATAGAAGCACCCTTCCCGTCAGCGCATACAAACCCCCCACATATACACTGGATAGCGTGACTATAAATGAACTCGATGTCTTTGATCTGCTAAATAAGCTTGACATATGTAAATCCATGGGGCCCGATGAATTGCATCCTAGGCTACTAAAAAAAATAATCTAACATTGTTGCGAACCCTTTAAGTATATGCTTTAAGCTATCCGTTACGCAGGGTCGTTTACCAAAAGACTGGAAGAACGCCATAGTAAGTCCTGTCTTCAAAACAGGTACGAAACATAAACCTGAGAATTACCGACCCGTTAGCCTAACTGGTGTGGTTGTTAAAATCTTAGAAAAGATTATTCGGAAAGAGCTGTTTAAATACCTCGATGTAAACCGGATCCTCTCGGAGAAACAGCACGGTTTCAAAATAGGTTATTCTTGTCTCACTAACTTATTAGTCACTCGAGAAAGCTGATGCGCTTTTAAGGACCAAAAGTTACCTGTAGACGTGGCTTACATTGATTTCAGCAAAGCTTTTGACAAGGTTCCGCACAACCGGCTGTTATATAAGCTAAAAAATGTCGGAATTGGAGGCAATCTATTGACGTGGATAGAAGACTTCCTTGTTGGGCGCCAACAAAGAGTACGGATAAACTCAAAATTATCTAGCTGGGAAACTGTGCTTAGTGCAGTGCCCCAGGGTACAGTTTTGGGGCCAGTGCTATTCCTCTTGTATGTAAATGACCTTCCTCGCTTACTATCATCATCGGTCTTGCTATATGCTGAGGATGTCAAGATATGGAGAACGATACGATGTAAGGGTGATGGCTTAGAACTCCAAAATGACATGAAGAAATTATCCGAATGGTCTCATACCTGACAACTGCCAATAAATACTTCCAAGTGTGTTGTGATGCATATCGGTCATCAAGGTTCAGATACATACACGATGAATAACACTGAGCTACCTGTTGTCCAGACACATAATGACTTAGGAGTCATCGTTAGCCAAGATCTGAAGACTACTGCACACTGCCGTCAAAACTTTTAGAACTTTATGGTCAATACGTAGGGCTTTTACTCATGTCGACGCTCAAACGTTTTGGACTTTGTATACAGTGTTCGTACGTCCTAAACTTGAGTACTGCATACAAGCGGCTAGCCCCTGCTTAAAAAAAGACAGTGGGCTTTTGGAAAAGGTCCAGAGAACAGCAACTAAGCTGATTCCCGTAATAGCGAAGCTTCCGTATGATGCTCGACTGACCAAGCTAAACCTATTCCCTTTGTCATATCGTAGAACTAGAGGCGACTTGATTACAGTTTTCAAATTGCTTAGTGATAAATTTGCACCTGATATGCCCTCATTTTTCCTGTCTTTCAAAACACAGAATTTACGAGGACACTCCGAAAAAGTTCACAAGCCCAGAACAAATTACTTGTCAGCTGATTATCGACTTGCCCACCGAATCATCAACGAGTGGAATTGATTACCTCAACACGTGGTTGAAGCTCCATCCGTAGATTCTTTCAAAGGAAAGTTGGATCAACTGAGAGAACACAATTGCCAGGGCTAACACAGGCCATCAAGCCTCCTGTTCTTTCCAAACTGAAACTGAACACGACATTCGTATTATTTTAGCTGTAGTTAGGGCAAACTAATAATTAAGAATATGTTATCTCATCTTTGCATGTGAAAACATTGCTATATGTCTTTACCAGAATATGCAAGCTTTTCACTAATTAACATATCCATTTATTATTCCATAGAGAATACTGAAGCATCATTTTGAAATAATTTACAATTCAAATAACCCTACCGACGCCTCATGCACAAAACTAAACGTCATTCAAAACTCTTTAATAGCTTGTTATTTACTATCAGAAACGTTTTCCGGTGTGTGAGTCCTTGACTATCAACTTATTTTAGCCTCAGGCAGTTGAAGTAGACAGAAAAACGGTTTGTCATAACCAAATCTACCAAAATTATCGCCCTCTATATAGACGTATGTCGAACAAAGTTTCGAGACATCTTGACAAGCCACCGGACGCAACGGTGAAATCCGGTGCGTACATTTAATTGACCAGACAGACAATCTTATCCAAACAATCATCTTGAAGAATTTAAAACTACCATTTTGCGCTATTGAAATCAATATGTAACTAAAAAGCCAACAACAAATGAGCACAAAACCTAATTGTCTGATGTTGTGAGAACTAAGCATCTAGTTATCAGTCGACCAGATGAATGTGTTGGTTTAACTTTAATCGTCTAGAACACATCACAAAAATATTTTTTGTGCTACCAGATAGCCAAGTTTCCCAAAACAGTACTCAAAATATACAACTAAACAGACTGAACAAAGCTTAACAAATTTTCTGAAAAGGATGACAGATATTTCCGTCATTAGTTGCGATCTCTTTAAACAACTTAAACTATTTCCGTCGGTTATCCCAAGCTAACGTGAAAAAGTTGGTTCACTAATTTGAGCAGAAAAAGGGAACTGAGGATTTAGTAACTCCTTTATTTTAGCCTAGTCTCTGTATACAAAACAGCATGTCTAATATCTCATCCCACAGTGGTTATAACACTACTCAGAACTTTAATAATCTATTACACTTTCGTTTACTTTCATATAATCAACAACGACCTATTGTCACGAACACTGAGTACGCTATTCTCAATGTTCACCAAATGAACACTCATTTCTCTTTTATAAAATGTCTTCAACTCAGCAACTTTTGGTCATCTATTAGGTTACTACACAAATTAATCTCTGCTTTTGATATTTCTGAATAATTTTACGTACTTTCACAACATATTTACCGTTTTTGATATGCATCTAGTTGGCAACAATTTTTCATCCTTAATCTTTTTAAGCTACGATCTACTATGCAATTTTTAGATACCGAGAAACACATTTAACCACCTTTTACATGGTTCAATATTTGTCTGTTTTATTATAGATTTATACGTAGTGATTAACTATAAATGCGATGGTTGGGCTTTGGCAAATAACTTCATTTGAAAAGACAGAAACCTTTCCTTACTGAATCGGCTTTTTTAATGTAACGATGGGCTTATCTCGTTATAAGTGATAAACCTTAGACCAAAGAGCTGAACGTATGTAAGAAGGAAGCCCCTGTTACTGAAAGTATCGATTAGTGATCAAGTGAGTTGTGCAAAATAATGTCTCCCAGGTTGTTTTAGTTATATATATATATATATATATATATATATATATATATATATATATATATAAACCTAAGTGCTTATATTTGTATGAAAGTCTTTAATACACTACCGAAATTTTGTGGACGAAATCTGCAGGGAATGTTATTTCCATAGAGTATAAGGTCTGACTTATTGGAGGTACGGCGAAACCTAGTAAATCAGTCAACACTCTTTTTGTTGAGGAGGCTGTATTTGAACACAGCTTCGATAAAAACTAAAAAGCCTGCATTTCGACTTATTACACAACACAAGACTTAGTAGATGATTGGAATAAAATAAACTGATTTGTCGGTAGTAACCAACGCAGTGACCAGTAGAACAATTAAATAAAAGCTACACTGCATTACACAGCGTCATATTTGTGATTGGTATCTCAAAAGCTTATTTTTGCGTTGGTACTGATGAATAGAATATGTCATGCCAAGAAAATTTAGTTGTCATTGTGAGACGAGTATTTGAAAATTTAGGAGCTTTGGAACTATCCTACAGATTATTAATAAATTTTTTCGTGGTATCCCAGTGAGTAGGAAGTTGAATTTCTGGCGTTTCGCGAAACACCACGAAAATATATTTATCACTAAGTTCCTACCAGATTCCCATCCTACTTGAAACTCAGTCTAACTTGGGCATTGTTACACACAAACT